ATAAAAATATTTTTAAAAAATTGGATGCACCAGAATTTGGAGTATATATGTTCATTATTGCAGTGTATTCTTTTGATCAGAAGGAAGTGACCTTCTTTATCTCTTCTGATTTTAATCTGAAGTCTATTTTGTCAAATATTAGAATTGCAGCACTTTTTTTTTGGTGTTTTTGAGACAGGGTCTCCTTGTAGCCCCAGCTGGCCTGGAACTCACTATGTAGATCAAGCTGGCCTTGAACTCAAAGACTTGCCTGCTTCTGCCTCACGAGTGCTGGGATTAAAGGCATGAGCCACCACACCAGGCCTAACAATTTTTTTAAACCTCTGCTTATTTATTAATGCCATTTGCATAGAATATTTTTTTTCATCTTTTCACCCCAAGGTGTTGCATAGCCTTGAAGGTAAGATGAATTTCTTAAAGACAACAGAAAGATGTTTATATAGTCTTAAAATTTTATGTTTGAGTATTGCTTGCATGTATGTATGTAAGTACACCTGTGTTGTGCAATGCCCAAGGAGGTCAGAAAAGGGTGTCAGATTCCCTGGAACTGAAGTTAGCCACCATGTGGGTGCTTGGAATTGAACCTTGGTCATCTGCAAGAGTAACCAGTGCTATTAACTGATGAGCCATCGCTCCAGCCTGGGATTTTGTTTCTTAATCCAATTAGTCTGTCTTTTGACTGGGGAGTTGAGGCCATTGACATTTTAAGTTATTATTGAAAGATGTGTTGGCTGCAATCATTTTATTTTCTGTTTGTGTTCTTAGTCCTATTCTGTGTTTCTGTAATTGTACTTTTATTTTCTTTCTGTAACTTCTTGGGTATTGTCCTTCATTTCTTCAGTCTTTTGTATTGTTTTGAGTACTCTCTGTAGGGCTGGTTTTGTGGACATGAATTCTTTCAGAGCTTATTTGTATCATGGAAGATTTTTCCCCCTTTTGGTTATAATAGACAATGTTGCTAGGTAAAGCATTTAGGATTGGCATCCATGGTCATTTAAAGCTGGGAATACTTTGGTCCAGGCTCTTCTGGCTTCCATATTTTGCATTGAAAAGTCAGCACAATTCTGATGGGTTTTCTTTTATATGTAACTGGTTTTTCTCTAGCAGCTTTCAGTACCCTATCTTTGTTCTGTACATTTAGCGTTTTGTATATTTTCATTTTTTTGGCTTTTTTTGAGACAGGGTCTCCCTGTAGCCCCACCTGGCCTAGAACTCACTATGTGGACCAGGCTGGCCTTGAACTCACAGAGATCTGCCTGCCTCTGCCTCCAGAGCGCTGGGACAACAGGCATGTGCCACCACACCTGGCTGGACATTTAGCATTTTTACTATTATATGCTGCAAGGAGTTCTGTTCTGGTCCTGTCGGATTGGTGTACTATGTGCTTCTTGTATCTGTTTGGGTAAGTCTTTCTTAGTTTTGGGAAACTTTCTTCTATAATCAATGCCATTGATCTGAGATTATTCTCCTTCCTCTATGCCTAGATTTTTGTCTTTTCATGGTGTCCTACATTTTCTGCATATTACATTTCTGTTTTTCTTTTTAAAATCATTCTTTGCTTAAGTGGTCCAACTTTATCATCCAGTCTTGATATTCTGTTTTCTATTTGATTCACTCTGCTGATGAGGCTGTCATTTCAAATTGACTTATTGAGTTTTTCAATTTCATCTTCATTTCAGCCTGAATTTTCTTCAATATTTCTATCTTCTTCATAAATTCACTTTTCAAATTCTGAATTGTTTTTACCATTTCATTCAGTAATGTATTTGTATTTTCTTGAACTTCAGTAAGTTTATTCCTATCCTCTTAGTTGTTTGTTTTTTAGAGTCACTGAAATCTTTGATCATGTTTATGATTATTCTTTTAAATTCTGTGCCCTGGAATTCCTCTGGGTAGTTCTTGTTATAGAACATGTCTATAGAACTGGTGGGATTTGGTGGCATATTATCTTGGTTTTTCATATTACTTGTGTTTTTGCATTGTGACTTGGGAATATGGATTTCTTTTGTTATGTGTCTGATATGAAATTCTAGTCTACCTTTGTTGAGTGGAAGTTTCGTTCTATTTTTATTGTTGATGTAGCTTAGTTGCTTCCTGATCAGGTGTGAATAGTTGTTCAGTGCTTTAGGTTCTCACTTTTGATTTTTTATTGCAGGGACTGGATATTTCCAGGATGGCTAGTTGGGAGCTCTCCAGCAGGGGGAAGGGGCCTATGCCCAAGGCAGCCAATGGGTCAAGGTGGGCCAGTTCTAATGAGCTAAGTCAAGTAGATGTGCGCCCTGGAGCAGTGCCCCTCATGACTTTTTTTTTTTTTTTTTTGTCTTTTTTGAGACAGGGTCTCCTTGCAGCCCCAGCTGTCCTGGAACTCACTATGTAGATCAGGTTGGCCTCGAACTCACAAAGATCCGCCTGCCTCTGCTTCCCAAGTGCTGGGATTAAAGGCGTGTGCCACCACGCCCAGCCCCTCATGACTTTTTATTTATTTATTTGGTCTTTTTGAGAAGACCTTGTAGCCCCAGCTGGTTTGGAACTCCCTATGTAGACCAGGCTGGCCTTGAACTCAGAGTTCTGCCTGCCTCTGCCTCCCAGTGCTGGGATTAAAGGCATGTACCACCACACCTGGCCTCCCTCATCACTTCTTAATGACACTAAAATAATCATTCTGGGCTTGCAAATAGACCTTTTTTTAATTTTACCAAAGAAGAGGACACATGGTCAATTCAATTAGTTTTCAACGTATACATATTCAGAGTATATATCTCCAGAATGCTGGCATCACGAGGTTTGGACACCATACGTACTATGCTCAAATTATTGCATGTTGTGTTGAAGACATGGCTACCAAGAGAAAAAAAATAAATTCAGTAAACAAATGGAGAAGGAGGTGTATGCACTGGCATTAAAATAAGACCTCACAAAAATATAAACATTATTCCTCATTGGTCCTTTAATCACATCCTAAATTTGTTTAAAAAAATTTTAACATCTGTTGTGCACACACGCATGCATGCATGTGTGCATGTGCGTACATATACACATTATGCCTGTTGAAGTCAGAGGACAACCTGCTGAGGCAGAAGAACTGTTATGAGTTTGAGGTAGTTTGAGGTTAGCCTATGCTACATAGTATGACCTTGTCTCAAAAGAAAACCTAAAAAAACAAACAACCCCCCCAACCCCCCTAAGCTCAGGTTTCAATTTAAAATTTGATTTTTAAAGTATTCTTTGAATATTCTTGTTCTAGTCAAAATGAACATAGCTAAGGTCAAGCCTCCCTCCTCACCAGGTGACATAGAGAAGGTGGGGCACAGCCCTGTCAATCAGTCTCATTCTGTATTAATAAGGCTCAGAGGTTAAGCACACTGGCTACTCTTGCAGCTCTTGCAGAGGACCTGGGTTCAGTTCCCAGCACCACATAGTGGCTAACAACTGTCTGTAACTCCACTTCTAGGGAAACCGACGCCCTCTTCTGACCTCCATGGACACTGCCCAACAGGTGCACTTGCACACATACAGGCAAAAAATAGATATACATAAAAAGGCTTAAGACATTTTTTGCCTCAAAAGCACTATCCTTCTCCCTGGGAGCTTATAAGTGCTGGGCCTGCCTTGCACTCATCCAAGTCTGCACCTCTCCTGCTCTCCACTTGGCCCTGAACACCCTCAGATGGAGCCCTGTCCCCATCTCTTCCTTTGCTCTAAGGAGAGTAGAAGTGGGACTGACCCCTCCCCACCAGGCATGTTGAGAACACAGCAGACACTCCCCAAGGCTGGGGTGGGGCTCATTGGGAGAGTTCATACTCTATATGTGAAAAATGAGAAAATGTCCTGAATAGACATTTCATTGGACATGGTGGCACACATCTACAATTTTAGCACTTGGGAGGTGGAGGCATGAGGATTAGGAGTTCAAGTCCAGCCTCAGCTACATTACACACAAATTCCAGCACTGTGGAGACAGGAGGATAAAAAGTTCAAGGCCATCCTCAGCTAGATATTGGTATGAGGCCAGCCTAGACTACATGAGACCCTGTGTCTAAACAGAAACCACAGCAGCATACAGATATAAAAATAGCCAACAAATTAATGACAAAATGCTCAATCTCTCACACCAGGGAGATAACAATTAAAAACACACTAAGATATCACCCCATTTGTTAGAATAGCTATTGCCAAACAGAGTAAAATTAATAAACACTGGCAAAGATGAGGAGAAAAAGGAACCTTGTATACTGCTGTTTAGAATAAAAATTGGTACAGCTACTTTGGTACACAGTATGGAAATACCTCAAAACACCACATCAGAACTACCACAGCAACCCCACTTCTGGGTGTATATTTTATTATTGTTGTTGTTGTTATTATTATTATTATTTTCATCTTTGAGACAGGGTCTCCTAGTAGCCCCAGCTGGCCTAGGACTCACCACGTAGACCAGGCTGGCCTTGAATTCACAGAGATCTGCCTGTCTCTGCCTCCCGAGTGCTGGGATTAAAGGCGTGTGCCACCATGCCGAGCTTGGATATATATTTTAAAGGAATTGAGAACAGCATGTTAAAGTGGTGAGGTGTGTAATCCTAGGCTTTGAGAGACTAAGTCAGGAAGATTACATCGAGTTTCATCCTGGGCTCCAGAATGGCTTGGACTACAGCATTACATCCTTTTTCAAAAAACAAACAATAGGCTGGAGAAATGGCTCAGTGGTTAAAAGCACTGGCAGCTCTTGCAGAGGACCTCAGATTGGTTCCCAGCACCCTCATGGCAACCACAACCGTCTGTAATTGCAGTTCAGGGGATCTGATGCCCTCTTCTGGCCTCCTCAGGCATTGCATAACAATTTACATTCAGGCAATACATGTATACACATAAAGTAGAAATAACAAAACCCCAAATAATTTAAGGACATACTCATATTCTTTATCTTGCCCTTATAAAACTTAATTCAAAGTGAATCTAGACCTAAATCTAAAACTAACATCTAAGGTTGCTGAGGATGGAGTTCAGTTACTAGAGGGGTTGCCTAGAAGGCATGAAGCCCTGGGTTCCACCCCATCACTGCATAAACTGGGCTTGGTGTCTTGGGAGCACTGTGGAGACACAAGGATCAGAAATTCAGTCATTCTCATGTAGATATCAACTTTAGACCCTGTCTCAAAATAACATAACAGTAACATCCACAAAAATTTGAGAAAAACTCTTAAATACATACAAAAATCTATCCTCAAGTGTTTTTAGCAGTTTTATTTCTAATTATCTCTAATTGGAAGCAAGATAATTGTCCTTGTCCTCTATGAAGCTCTGCACACTGGAACACTGCTCAGCCACGGAGAGGAGTGAACTATTGCTGTCCACAGCATGGTGAGCCTCAAAACACTATGCTCGTTGAAAGAGGCCAGGCAAGAAGGGACACAGACTCATTACATTTACCCAGAAATTTAAAAACAAACTTAATTTAAAGGGATAGAAAAGGATCAGTTGTTGTCTGATGTTGGAGATGGAGAAGAGATGGGTTGCAATAGGACAGAGGAACCTGGGGTGACAATTTGTGGTTTGCTTTTGCTTCTGATTACAGAACTTTCTGTCTTTAGCCAAACAAATGTGTGTTAGACAACTTGTTTTTATTGGGCTAACATGTCATGTCTTATTAAAATATTCAGATGGAAAAAAGTCTCAAAGTTCTGTAGTACAGAGAGGGCAATTGGCTGAAATTTTTTGAAATTTAGAAGGAGTATTTATTATTATTAGTTACAATACAGAGAGCAAAATGCAGGAAAAAGTCAGTCCAGTGTCACTATGTATTTAATTAACTAAAATGTTGAACTTGGGGTCTGGGGAGATGGCTCAGAGGTTAAGTGCACTGACTGTTCTTACAGGGTTCAGTTCCTAGCACCCATAGAATGGCTACAACTGTCTATAACTCTGGTCTAGGGAATCTGACACCTTCTTCTGACCTCCATGGGCATTGTACAACACAGGTGCACTTACATATGTATAGGCAAAACATAGATACACAAAAATATTAAAAAAATATTTTTTTGCCTCAAAAACACTAGAAATAACTTATCTGAGCATAGATATTTCTATTTTTAATGAAAGCTACCCAACAATCCATTGTATGGATAGATCATAATAACTTAAATGAGCTTTAAAAATTTTACATTTATTTATTTAGTATATATGATGTGTATTCACATAAATGTGTGTGCCATGGCTTGCATGTGGAGGTCAGAGGACAATTTGTGTAAATCTTTTGTCTTCTTTCATCATGTCAGTTCCAGGGGTTGAAATCAAGTTATGAGGCCTTGCTACAAGCACATTTACCTGCTGAGTGATCTCACTGGCTCTTAAACAATCTCTGACATTTGGAAAGCTAGTAGTTTCCAGCATCAGGCAATGCCTAACAATGCTACAATAAACAGCTGGTGTATGGATTTGTTTTCTTTTTTCTGTCAGTTCTCAATTTGACACACCTGGGTAGAGGCACGCTCAACTGAGGAATTGCTGTCATCAGATTGACCTGTGGCCTTATCTGTGGGACATTTTCTTGATTATTGAGTGATATGGGACAGTCCAGTCCACTGTGGGTCATGTCACCTCTGGGCAGTTGGTCCTGTGCTGTGTAAGAAAGCAGACTGAGCAAAGTCCAGGGGAGCAAGCCAGTAGGCATCATACCTCCATGGGCTATGCTCCAGGGTCCTGCCCTGAGTTCCTGCCTTGGCTTCCCTTGATAATGGACTGTGAGCTGTAAGCCAAGTAAGTTCCTTCCTTCGCAAGTAGGTTTTGGTCAAGTAGGTTTTGGTCAGAGTTTTTTTTTTTTTTTTTTTTTTTTTAAATCACAGCAATAGAAATAACTAAAACTGAGTTTCGTATCTCAGGCTGGCTTCTTATTCAGTACATAACTGAGGAGGAACTTGAACTCCTTATTCTCCTGCTTCAACCTCCTCAGTGCTGGGATTACAGGCATGTGCCATCACAGCCATTTTATGCATTGCTGGGGACAGAACCTAGTGCCTCATTCATCCTCGGCAAGCACTCCACCAACTGAGCCCTGCCCAGCTCCCAGCTCCTGTGCTTTAATCACTGGAGGCACACCTGCAGTGGAATGGTAGCTCAAAGGTACATGTGTATATATTGTCTTAGATGGTGCCCCAAAACAGCATAAATATCATAACAGCAATAATCTGGCAGCAAACATTTATAAAGTACATGAAGGATAAGACTTCCATATATAATATATCAAAACTCCCTTTTTTTAATCTTCATTTTTTGGAAATAGGGTCTTATGAAGTTTCCCAGGTTGGCCTCAAACTCATTAGCTAGCCCAGGCTGACCTCAAAGTCTTAATCCTCTTCCCCAGTTCTCCTTAGTGCTGGGATTAGAGGCCTGCCCCATCACATCCTGCTCAAGTAAAATAATATGGATGAAGGCAAGAAGCCCAAAGGAAAAATCAGCCAAATGGAAATAAAGGCAACTCACTAAAGAAGCAACACAAGAGGCAACTGAATTAAAAAAGGAACAAATCTTGCAAGTAAAGGTAGGATTGAGAGAGCACTGTCTTTCCTTCACTGTCTGTGGGAGTTCAACCAAGTTTTCTGGAAAGCTCTTTCATATCTACTGCTGTGATGCCAAGAGACTGGAAATTCTCTTTTCTTTTGGAATTTCTGATCCTCTGTCACCACCTCATGAGTGTTGGGCTTACAGGTGTGCACCACCACACCTGGTTTTATGTGATATTAGGGATCATTAATTTATTCACATATATGCAGAGAGAATTGCAAAAGCTCTATTATAGTCTTCCATCCATTTTTATGTAGAAATAAAAAAAAATTAAGGTGAACATTTCAAGTCATGATCTGGGGCTTACCAGGGTGGTAGCAGACTCCTCCTCATGTGTTCTAGATGACAGCATCTCTTGAGGTGACGGCCTCCCTCCTCCCACATGTATACATGCAGGGAACCATCCTGAGATGTGGCAAGGACATGGAGAGAATCCTTCAAAGGACACACAGATGTGAGTGGACAGGAGTCAAGGTCAGGTGAAAACACGGGGACATGATCAGTGTGATGGCTCAGTGGGTAAAAGTACTTGCTGTGCAAGCCTGATGACACAAGCTAGCTCCCTGGAACCCACATAAAGGTGGAAGGACAGAACCAGCTCCACAGAGTCGTCAAGTTGCTTCTACATGTCACACTAAATGTGCACATATGCAGATTAATGATAAAAAAGTTTTTTTTTTAAACCTTTAAAAAAATAGGAGGGGCTGGGTATGGTGGTGCACACTTTTAATCCCAGCACTCAGGAGGCAGAGGCAGGCGAATCTTTGTGAGTTCAAGGCCAGCCTGGTCTACATAGTGAGGTCCAGGCCAGCTGGGGTTATAGGGAGACCCTGTCTCAAAAAAAAAGGGAGGGGAATCACCCTACATACCACCCATAAGTTTCTGATGTCTCTCTGGTGATCATCAAGTTGATGCAGCTGGAGGCCATCAATGGTGCAGAGGAACAAAGATGGTCCACTCCCAAAGACAATCACATTTGCATCACTGACTCCCATCAAATTTGGTGTGTCTATATGTGCAGGCAACAGGAAATTTGCAATTTGCTGTGCTGTTTTCATACAAAAAACATACATGTAAGCATGCAGGCCATTTTCAAATCATTTAGTCAGCACAATAAACAAATTTGAGTGAAAAACATACTCCCTTTCTACCATACTCCAGTCTGCTGGGACAATGAAAACAGTCCAGGGCTCTGACAAGTCCATGTAATTGACCATGGTAAGGTGTGCTATGACACAGGAACACTGTGGAGCATCAATAACAGCTTAAACATCGGAAAGGTGCCTATACTGAGAAAGGACATTGGAACTCAGGCCTTAACATAGTATGTAACTGAAACATGTCTGCCCAAGGGAGCGGGGTGGAGTGTAGTGGTCACTTGAATATGAGCATCAAACAGGCACAGGATCACACCCAGCTAGGAAGCCCTTTTGCTCCCTTTAGAAAGGCAGACATATTTAAACACATTTATCATTTACTGTGAGTATCTGTGGGATAGGGAGCCACTGTTTTTTTTTAAAATAATCGTTTTTGCATTTATCTATCATCTATCTCCCTATGTATCATATATCTCTAGTGTATGTGTGTCTGTCATGGCACAGCATGCATTTGGAGGTCAGAGAACAAGTTGCAGAAGTTGGTTTTCTTCTTCCTTCATGTGTGTCCCAGGGAACTGAACTTAGGCTGTCAGTCTTGGTGGCAAGTGTCCCTATCCACTGAGAAATCTTGTTGGTTCCATAATAACATTGTTACTGTGTTTCTGTTTTTTAAAAATACTATTTATTATTATTATTATTATTATTATTATTATTATTGTGTGCCTGCTAAACCATTTACAAGCCCCATATTTTAAACTTTTTGAGATAAGGTCCAGCTATATTGCTTAAGTTTGTCTTGAACTCATGATCCTTCTGCTTTGGCCACTTGAGTTTCAGGACTATGGGCACACCAGCATGCCTGCTTGAGCAGTAGTTACAAGGTGGGAGGCCTACCTATGACAGTTTCTTTGTTGCCGGTCTTCTCCAGTCCTAGATCAAATGTGGTAAATCCTGTGTGTCTGGTTCTCCGGTACATCAGTGTTATTCTGTTTTCTCTCCTTGGGATCCAACAGGCTCTGTAGCAGAATGGAAGTGGGAGACAGACATGCAGGGGGGAGCAGTCCTCTAATGAACAAAGTAACTGTTCTGTTAAATACACCTGCGGAGAGAGTATCACATGGGGAATTGGTGAAGAGGGACACTACAGCATCTTGGCACATGAGTGACTCCAGGCAAGTGTCCTTTGGAATGAATCCTCATGTAGCGGGATCTGTTCTTTATCCCAGAGAGGGCTGAGCAATCACTGCTTCCACTCTGTAACTCAGTGTTCCTGTCCCTGTCATAGTCACGGATAGAATGGATCTCTGACGCAGACCACAGGGTCACAGTCATCCTGCCACATGGAACTCCTCATCAGACTGAGGTTAAGAAGATTTTCCCTTCTCAGAGAACTAGTGAAAGGGCTACATTTTCTTTTTATTATTTTTCTTTTTTTTTCTTCTCTTTTTAATGTGGAGGCTTTGAGATAGAGTCTTACTGCGTTTACAGCAAGCCTCCTTCCATTAGACTCCCCACTTCCCACTCCCCTAGAATCCACCTGAGAGCTGGGGTAACGGGCTTGTGCCACCACATCCAGCACTGTTTTTAGCACCTTCCTTCTTAATTCCCTGTTCTCTGGTGCCCAGTTCACAGGTACCATGAGACAGATGAGCTTCTCCTGAGGACTTCCTCGGGACTGATACATTTTTATTTGCTTTTTGACTTTCTAGCAGGAAATTTAGGAAAGCAAAAGTGAAGGTCCAAGGACCCTCCCTTCTCTCACTCTCCATCCACTGCCTGGGCCAGGCTTTACAAACACATTAATAAACTGCTTTTGTGACTGACTTTGCTCTGTCTTCAGAGCATTGTATCCTGACTGTCAGAAGGGCTTCTGCTTGTGATAAAGTCTTAGAGGAAAGGGAGCCGGATGCCTGGACCTCCTTGAGGTTTGAAGCTCCCCTGACTCTTCCTAACTTGACCCTCCCATCTGGAAATTGAAGTTCCCAGAACAGCACCTACCTTTGGGAAGACATGTGGATGTATCTTACATGCAAAGACCCATTTATTCTCAGGAGAGCAGTGTAGGAGTTGAATAGGATATTCAAATCCTTTTACTTTAGAAAGGTACAATAACTTAGGCAGCGTAAATGTGTAGATGTGACCCTCACAATCGCCCACCTGAAATCAAAGCATCAGCACCTATCAGTAGAAGAACACATGAAATCCTAAAGTACAAAAGAGGCAGCACTGACAGGTCTGAGATATTGTACCACTTATTCAATCCCATAATTGTTATCCAAATCTCTACCCTGCCTGCTTCTCAGATGGTGGGGATGGTCCCATAGAATAAGACCTTCTAGTGCTGGGGAGTTGGAGAGATGACTCAGAGCTAACATCACTGGTTGCTCTTCCAGAGGACCTGGGTTCTTTTCCCAGCACCCACATGGTTGCTTATAACCATCAGTAACTCCAATTCCAGGGAATCTGATGCAGTATTCTGGCCTCCATGGGCATGACACACATGTTGGGTATGTATATACATACCAAACATTCATATAACATAAAAATAAAAATACATTTTTTTATTTTTCAATTTTTTTCTTGTCTTTTTGAGATAGGGTCTCCATGTAGTCCCTGTAGTCTCCCTGTAGCTGGCCTGGAACTCACTATATAGACCAGGTTGGCCTTGAACTCAAAGAGATCTGCCTGCCTCTGCCTCCCAACTGCTGGGATTAAAGATGTGCACCACCATGCCTGGCTCAAAAATAAATTAAAAAAAGACTTCCTAGGGCTAGAGAGATCATTCAGTGACTAAGAGCTTGTACTGCTCTTGTGGAGGATCTGAGTTTGGTTCCCGGCACCTTGTCAGGCTGCTTATAGTCACCAGTAACTCCTACTCCATGGTATCTGACACCTCCGTCTGGACTCGATGGGTATCTGCTGTCAAATGTACACATACACATACATAGACACACACAGATACATATAAATAAATCTTACAAAATACCTTTTTAAGTCAAATAACTCTTCTGAAGGACCCCCTGGGACATCAACACTATCAAAATTCACATCTTTCTATTGTCTGTCCATGTTCATAGACTCAAGAATGGAAAGCAGTTGAAAGACGCAACACAAATATGAAATAATTCAGGAAATGCTGTGTGTGTGGTATGTGTGAGTGTGTATATGTGTATAGTACATTCAAATGTATGTATGTGGTGAGTGCCTGTGCACACATGGAGCCAGAGGAGGTGGTCAGGTGTCCTGCTCCTGCAGGCTCCACTTTATTCCCTTGGGACAGAATCTCTCATTCTGGAGCTAGGCTGGCTGCCAGCAAGCCCACTGGATCCTTTCGTCTGGGTGCTTTACATCACTGGGCTTACAGACACATGCAGCCACATCCTACTTTTTACACCTGGTGAAAGGGATTCGAACTCAGGTCCTTCTGATTGCATAACAATCACTTTTAGTCATTGAGCCATCTCTCCAGCCTCCAGGAAGTTTGTTCTTTTTTTTTTTCCTGCAGAAGAAATTGAGGAAATTCATGTGAGGTAGGTCAAAGGATATGATGGTATAGAAGTTTCTATGGCTAAGAGTGGTTGATACATTGTGATTTAGTCTCAGGTAAGAATGACTACAAGATGACTGATTGAGATGAGACAACAATGGGCCCCCTGGGCAGTAGGCATTTTGTGCACATATTCCAGATTCGGGGTTACTTACCATCAAGAATGGGATATTCTTTGTAACAAAAGCTTTCAAGGTATAACATCCTTGAGATATGTTTATAGCAGCCAGAGAGTCTCTATCTTGACAGTTCCACACTTTGAGGGTTCTTTGAATATCTAGAGTGATGGCGAGCTGCATCTCAGGGAGGGTAGCCAGATTGATGATGATGCTGTCCTGGACTGGGCTTGACCAGATCTTAATGCCCTAGGGAGCAAGAGCAGCACTGCATTCAAGGATCTCTGCATATCCACTGTGTTCATCCCACCAGCTTTATTGGTAAGCCTCCTCTGAATTGGAGCCACTTCTTGCTTATAAGAAATGGATATAAAACTTCTAAATCATCTTTGGCCAGGTATATGTCTGTCATCTGAGCACAGCAAGCCAGAGGGAGGAGGATTACTGCGAGTTTGAGGCCAGCCTGGTGTACATATCAAATTGCAGACCAGTCAGGGCTACATCACTAGACCCTATCTCAATAAATGCAAATAAAACATTTAAGCATCTCAATTATTTGGGGGAGTGAATGAGAACAGGAACTATTCATTATGCTTAGAGTAAGAAACTCACTACTAGAGCATAAAGAGTAGGGCTGGCAAGGTGGCTCAGTGGGTAAGGGTGCTTGCCACCAAGCCTGATGACCAGAGTTCAATCCTTGGGACCCATATGGTAGAAGGAAAGAACTGACTCCTGAAAGTAGTCCTCTGACCTCCACATTTGCAGTGTTTAGTGTGTACACTAAGCACACCCTCCTCCCCCAACAGGAACACACACAAAGGTACACACATAATAAATAAATACAATTTAAAAAAACTTAGAAAATCAGACTCCCTCTGCTCAATAATTTATGCCTTTTTCTAACAGTGCAGCATCCATCAAGTTACTATCATGGCTTCTTTGGAGCCAGTATTATATTTCATAACAAATAAAAACTACTCAAAATTTATAAAAATTAGGAAAATTCTTATTCCACCATCAACTCTTCTACATTGCAAACAAGGCAGAGAAGTAGCTTCTCTTGCAGACATTCCTTTAGCCTTTTTTATTCTGTGAGGTTTGTCACATGAAAAACAGAAGAGCATAAATGTAAATGTGAATTTAATAAAATATTAAAGACAACTACTAAAATCACCACTTCTAAGCCCTAAGTCCATTTTAAGAGTATTTATTTTCATGTTTTAGTTACATGTTTCTGTGTGTGTGTGTGTGTGTGTGTGTGTGTGTGTATGCCATGTGTGTGCGGGTGTCCACAGAGGTCAGAAGAGGGCACCAGATTCCCTGGAGCTGGTGTTACAGACAGTACAAGGCAGTGAACAGGATGCTGAGAACTGAACTTTATCCTCTGGAAGAGCTTAAGTTAAGATAGTTCTTCACTGCTGAGCTATTTCTCTAGCCTTGCCCCTAACTCCTTTTCCATGGGATCTATTAAAAACCCCTCCATCCCACACAAATATAATCTCCCCTTTGAGTCAATCTGTCTTTGTTCCAAATGTCACGTCTACTTTGATTCCGTTGAAATCAGTCTGTTATAGTGTTTATTAGCATCTAACAAATCATCCTCAAATGTAGTGGCTAAAGCCATATTTCTGTTATCTCCAATCTTCTGTTCTCGTTCTAGGTCTCATGAGAGTGAAGTCAAATTTCACTGTTAGTGTAGCTTTCTCAGCCTGGTACTGGTGACTCAGGCCTGTAATACCAGTACTTGGGAGGGAGAGGAGGAAGGGTTGGCAGGAGTTTGAGGTCATCCTGGGCTATAGGGTGTGTGGTAGGATAACCTGAGAGCCTATCTTAAAGCCTCAAAAGAAAACAAGATAAAAGTCCCAAGATCATTCATTGGGCACATTTTCAGTGTACCATGAGTGACGATGCTACTCAACATGTGTGAGACCCTGCCTCCAACAGCAACAGCCGTGACCAGCAAGAAAGGACTAATGCTCATTCTGTCATTATATAACAGACTCTTATCTCTTTATAAAAAGAAATAAGGAAATCCTTGAGAGAACAGAGGGCAGGCAAGATGGAGGCATTGAGGTATCCATCACTCACCTGCTCCTCCACAGAAAAGAATCAAAACAGGTCTATGGCTGCATCCTGAGCTGAGTGACTGCAGAGCACTGGATTTAACAACAGAACAATGGAAATCTTGTAAAATTCATAGAACTGAGAGGGACATAGCAAGAGAAACAATAATACTGTCACCAGCTACCATACTCCACAGCCAGACTCCAGCCAGTCTCCCCTCCACAGGGGTAAGGAATTAATTTTGTTTCTCAGAGAGCCCATGAGGCACTGTGGCCAGAAGCTATCTTGAGAAGAAAGCTATTGTCTGCATTTAGACTGCTCTGGGGTCACAGTACCTGCACAGTTCCATGTCTCGGACCCCACAGACATTCTACTGCACAGACATTCTATTTCACTGGCTCAACAGGAGACCAGAGCACACAGGAGTGACTCTTACAACCTCCCCTGGGGAGTGCTGCACTGTGGGGGAACTGGTATCACAACGCTGAGGTAAACAGTGGGTACCACTCTTAGGAAACACAAGCAGAGTCAGGCACCTGTGGCTTCCAGTAGGTGCTAGAATTAAGGGTGTGTCCTGTGTGATTCTACCAACCCTCTCCCAGTTCTGCATATGGGCTCCCATCTCTAAAAAAGCAGAGAGGGAACAGAGAGTCCCTGCTCCTCCACACAGAGGGATTCTGGGACTGTTCAAGCAGTGCTGTACAGCTCCAGCTCACCCACCACTCCTGAGGCATACCGCCTAAGAAGTCCTTAGAAAAATGATACCCAGGGCCAGCCACATTCTCTTCTCTTTTGTTCCTTGGGTAAGATGTCTCAATCCCTGGATGACACCACAATGGAGCCAAGCCTGTGACAGTGGTCCCTTCCTAGGAGAGCACAGATTCTGCTTATAGGCAGGCACACCATAGCAGCAGCAGACAGGAATCTCACATCTTTTGCTTCTACTGCACCTAAGTGGTTCCCATGCATTGGTCATGACCACATCTTGTCAAATGCTGCTGACGAGACTGGGTGTGAATACCATAGGGGCAGTCTGTAGAGACGGGAAGAAATGGACAGATTTCTGAGTGTAGATGACTTACTAAAACTGAATCAAGAGCATTTAAAAAAAAACTTAAGAGCAACGCCAAGTGCATATAGTGGTCTGCCTGTAATTCTAGCACATGGGAGGCAGAGTCAAAGCATTCCCCTAGAACAAGCTGGCTAGACTGGTGAAGGCAGTGACCTCTGGATTCAAATGAAAGATCCTACCTCCATATATCAGATGGAAAGTGATTGAAGAAGGCACCTGATGTCAACTTCTGCCATCCACAGGTATGTGCATATACATGCATGCATACTCATACACACATTAATACACTTATAAGAATGTATGCATACCACACATACACATGCAGGAAAAAAAAGAAAAAAAATCCCAACTAAGAAAAGTCCAGGCACAGATTGATTCACTGGTGAATTTTACCAAACTTTCAAATAACTAATCCCAATATTTCTCACACTATTTCATAAACAGGAAAGGAAGAAACGCTACCAAACTCTTTATGAAGCTATTACTACCCTGATATCAAAACCAGATGAAGACATACCAAAGAGGAATAACAGAATGATCTCCCTGATGAAAACAGATACAAAATTATCAACAAAATCCTTGCAAAATGAATTCAAGAACATACCAGAAAGATCATGATCAAGTTGGCTTTATTTTAGAGATGCAGAGATGGTTCAATATACAGTCAATAAATGTGACAAATTAAACAAATTAACTCAAGGGGAGAAACACATAAATAAATGCAGAAAAGGCTTTTTAACAAATCCAACATCCCTTCCTGATATAAGTCCTGAAGAAACTTGGAACAGAAAGAATGTATGTCAACATAATAGAGGCTATATATGACAAACCTGTAGCTAATCCATATGAAAGGGGGAAAACTTAAAGCTTTTCCATTAAGAGGAGGAACAAGACAAGGATGTCCACTTTCTCCACTGTTATTCAGTATGGTACTGTAAGTTTTTTTTTCTGTATTTTTGAGACAGTGTTTCCCTGTAGCCCAAGCTGGCCTAGAACTTGCTATGTAGAGCAGGCTGGCCTCGAACTCCCAGAGATCCACCTGCCTCTGCCTCCCGAGTACTGGGATTAACGGCGTGCACCACCATGCCTGGATGGTACTGTAAGTCTTAGCTAGAGCAGTAAGACAAGAGATGCACATAGACAGGACACAGATAGGAAGAATTCAGTGTTCTTATTTATAGATGACATGATTCTATACCTAAAAGACCCTAAAGATGCCACCAGAAAACTCTTAGAACTGATATATGTGTGCAGCAATGTGGTAGGATACCGAATTAACATTAAGGAAATCAGTTACCTTCCTATATATACCAATAACAAACCAACTAAAAAAATAATGGAGATAATCTCATTTACAAAAACCTGAAAAAAACAAAAACATGAGGCTAAACCTACCAAGGATGTGAAAGGCCTCTTTGAAGAAAGGAACTGGGGGAGATGCTAGAAGAAAGAGCTCTCCTGCTCTTGAATGGAATCAATATTGTGAAAATGGCTCTTTCCATAAGCAATCTACAGATTCCATGCAATGCCAATGAAAATTCTAATGTCATTCTTCACAGAAATAGAAAAAATAATTTTAAAATTCATTTTGAAGCACAAAAGACCTGGAATAGCTAAAGCAACCCTGAGCAAAATAGATAAGTCTCTCCTGCTGGCTAGTAGGAGCCTGGACTTCTTCATCCCATGACCTTTCCTGCATGCAGACCTTTTGAGACTGCCCGAGAGTGCCTGACTAGCTTCCTGGGTGAGCTGCTCAAATTACTCCATGTCCACACACCTGCTTTGGGACCATTTGCAGTCCCTCCCACTGCTCCAGGGCCAGGCCCCCCTGCTGGCTAGTAGAAGCCTGAATTTACTTGGTCCATAGCCTCTTCCTGTACCACATACCTTTTGAGACTACCTCACTCAGCCCCAGTCTCAGGGATGAGCTGCCCAAATTATGCCATGCCCATCCCTCTGCTTTGGGACCATCTTCAGTCTTTCCCACTGCTCCAGGGCTCAGGCTTCCCTGCTAAGTAGTAGGAACCAGTACATCCATTTCCCATCTCCTCTCTGTCCTTGAGCCTTGGCACTATCTATCTGAGGCTCCAGAAGTGCTCCTAACTAGCCAGGG